AGAGCGGTCCCCCTTTTGTGCCGTTCAGGTGGCGAGTGCCATGGTGGGCACGTGGCTAGCAGGCTGGGCTGGCTGTCCTTGTGCTCCTGTCCTTGTGCTGCTGCTGCTGCCTTTCGGTCCCTTGTTGGCTGCCAGCTCCCACCGTGGGCTATCACTGGTGGCTCAAACCCTGCCTGGGGGCATGGGGGAAGCCGATGAGTGGCCGCAGCTTCCCTGCAACTGTCCCGCCTAGAAATTACTCCGAGTAGTCTGGAAGTGCCTTGACTGTCGCCTCTTTGCAAAATTTGTGGGAGGGTGGAGCAAGACCTGTTGGCTCCACTCCTTTCCTCTCACCTCTCTGCACTCCTGGGTCTGATCTCAGCACCCTGGTTCATACCAAACATTAATTTCCTTTTCTTCTTCTGCAGTATCTCCCAAGTGGTGCGAGAACCTGGTAGCAGCTGCAGCCTCACACACAGCCTCAGCATTTGCATGAGTCTGAGATCAAGAGGAATAAGTTGGCTTAAAAGTGAGGAACGGGTAAACCGAAGAATGGTTTTGTCCCTTTGTTTACCTCCTGCCCTGAACAGAGTGGGTGAAACGCTCCTGACTGCCAGCTCCGCTGCGAGCCTGCTATGAAAGAAGGACCATAGGACATCCTCGTGTTTCGATATGGCTGCCAGACCTGCCCACTTGGAAACTGTGGTCTTGCAAGAAATGATATGGGAAAATTGGCCCGCACTGCTTGCAGCAGGACCTGACACGCCCGCTGTTACGATGGGACTCGAACTGAGACCGTTCCCTCGTGCTGGCTCGCTGAATTCCCACGCTCCAACTTCCCCAAGCTCTGTCCTTGTGCATAGCTTATACCAGAACACAAAGTGTGCACAACCTCTTGTTCTGCTTTGCTAATGTTTTTCCCTCTGTATGCACATATACAAACAATGAAAAGAGGCACTGGTTAATGGCATAATAGGGCTGTGGTGAAGAGTGTGTCTTGATTTGCTCCAGCAGGTAAAATTTTGAGTGTCTTATCTCATTCGAGCAACTTCAGGGCTGTCCAATGTACTATGGGCACAGTTAAGATATATTCTGGTTGCTGTATTGTTATGGCTCCTTTAAAGAGCTGGGTATTCCCAATGACTGTCAGCATGCATACATTTTTCTCTGGCACAAGACAGCGGTAACAGGATGAATTAACAATACCCACTGCCAGAGTGAAGTGCTACACAGGTTCTCTCTTAAAAAAAACTATGGCACTGAATTCAACGCCAATGCAGCCTTCTACCTTATTAAAATCAATGGCCTTCCAAGCACTGCAAGGCAAACACACCCTGGTAATGTGAAAGCAAAGGGAATGCCTTATGGGTAGAAGAAAATTAGACTTCATAAGATTCAGTGGGAAAAAGATGACTTTCTATTTCATCTAAGTGTTAGAGAACTCAGGCTATGCTCAACCCTTAGACAGCCATCATCTGGTTTGTATGAGCATGTGCCACAAGCCAGTCTTTTAATGTAGGTTTTGAGCCACATTCTGCTCTCATTTTATTCCAGTGCAAGGACCATAGAAATCCTTTGACAACACTACCAGACTTGACACTTGAAAGTATTAAAAGTCTGCAACTAGAATTCCTCATAATGGCTTTTCTACGGGGTGTTTCCCTGATTCTGCCTTCACTTTTCCTCTCTTACAGGTTATGCACAATTACGCAAGTTATGCACATTTACGCAATTTATGCACAATTGCTGGAGCTTCCTCTTGGGTTTGACCTGCAAAAAGCTTATAATGGTGTTCAGATCTTTAGGTGAAGCAAGGTCTGGAGAGACAACTACAGTCTTTTATTAGATGAGCTCTAACAGAGAGAAGCAAAACAGGCTATTTTTGTCACATGAGGTCTATCTTTAAAACTATATGTCCTTCAAGCTGTCCCTCTGAAGTCAATAAGAGAATGCATAACACGTCAAGTTACGCATCTTTAGGTATGTCTGTGAGACTAAAAATTTAGGCTACTTGAGGTAGAGAGCATGTGTTTGCACAAGGCCACCGCTGCTCCTAACTGGTTACTAGACACTATCGCCACACAGTTAATAAATCTTGAAGAGGATATAAAATTGCAGTGAATAGGGTCTGCCTGTGCTCATCTTGCACAGCTTTCTTTCCGGTTACATCGGAACGACTCCTGGATGCTTAAGTCCTATGGGGATCCGGCGTAGGAGAGGCGTGCTCACTTACTTGGTTCTCTTTCAGCGTTATCTGTCCTTGCTCCCTGCATCCAATGAATGTCCTGATACACCTGTAAATCTTTTCATCATGTTGCACTCTTTGAACAAAGTTAGCAGGAAAAAATCCAGTTCTGTCTTCAATTTTCCCCTGTGGAGAAAATGCATGGGCAAAAGAATGGTGTTAACATTAGTAGCTTAAACATCAGCACAGTATTGAAAAATAACATTCCTTTTCCTTTGAAAATAAGACAAATATAAAATAAGGAGCACATACCTTCCACCAGTCTTCATTGGAGTCTTCCAGAAGAGTGATCATATCCCCTGGCCTGTAATTAATTGAAGAAAAATGGATTAAGATGACTCTTAATGGTTATGCTACATCACCATCCGCGCTTACATTCTAATAGGAAGGTCATTTTATCTGAGCATTTACTGCAGGTAGACTCAATGAGGCAGCAAGGACTTAAAACATACACAGCAATGTAGAAAGAGACTCTGTGTATATTGGCTGAAAATTAGCCAAGTTTTACTCTCGGTTCTCAGTTACATAGATACAAAAGTTACTGAAGCCAACGTGTTTAACTGCAAGCTTTCTTCCTTTGGCATTAATCAGGTATTGATACTAAGGCCTCTGCTGCTATTCCCCAAAACTTGAATTCTTTTCTTTATCCTGGTGCATTTTTTTTACTAGTTCAACCTAAAATTCAAATTAGGAATAAAATCTGTGATGCTGAACTGATAAACAGTACTTGTGAATTTGTCCGTGGGTGTTTTTGCTGTTGTATCCTATTTTGAGCAGGATGGAAGGCAGTGTACCAACATGTGGCTAGCTCAGAGTACGCACACTCTATGCAGTCGTGCTCTCTAATATTCTGCTATTTATTCCCACTTCATCAAAGCTCTGTCAGTGAAACCTGTTTTCTGATCTTAGATTATAAGCCCAATCTTCCGCTTTCATTTAGGGCTAGATCCTCATTGTAGGTCAACATCTCCTGTGAACTGGATTTTTTGCTTCCTGTTTAATAAGAAACAGTTAAAAATACAATCCCTATTTGTTACAGGCATTATTCTGTTACGTGGAGACACTTCATATTGTTGGGACACATCACTCTATCATCTCTGTTTTCAAGCTGTGATTGCAGAAGGAAGGCAGCAGGAAAATAGTTTTATTTAGCTGACAAAGGCAATTAGTCAGCAGGGACATAACTCTGCCCAGGAATGTCTTTTTGATTTGAATGGGACATATTTACCTTTAAAATGCGTGGTGCAGGGTTGTAATTGCTAAGTATCAGCATCCAGCTGACTAGCTCCAAAGTAGAGGTAGGAGAATAATTTGGCTGGGAATGCTAATAGCTAAATGTGCTGAACTGATTTTGTACGGAGAGGTGAGCAGTTGTGTGACCTCCTTCCCCTCAGTGGTGGCAGTTCATCAAGATTACTATGCAACTGTAATAACCCTGTGCTGCAGAAAGTACGTGACAGTCCATTTTCAAATGGATTCATCTAAGAAAGTTCTCTATACCTGATTCAACATATTTTTGTGGATAAGGGGCATCTCTTTGATTTTATTAAAAATAATGGTTGATATTTATTCTCTTTTTCTTGCATATGATGTGGGACTCAGTTTATAGTTGTGGTGGCAGCACAAGAGCTCTCAAATATAGCTGGACTGTATGACGGACTGCAAAGACCGACCTAGCAGGCCCTGGCAGAGCACGCATAGAAGATATGAACCTGTCCAGGAAGCCGCTGGAGGTGGCAGCAGTGGGGGCCTCTTTGGTTCAATTGCCCAGATGTTGTCATTGCTGCTGAAGAGCGGAGAAATAAGCACTCAGTCTTTCCTCTGGTACTGTGGGATCTGAACCTGACTTTTCCAACTTGTGATGTGTTTTTTAAACATTTTACCTATTGTGCCCTTGTCAAAAAGTTGGTCACCCAGCTTTATATCTATGTGTCTATGAGAAGTTCTTTGCATCTATGATTAGATCCCTCTGTAAAACTGTCTAGAAAAATGACAGAAGGAAAAAAAGCCTATCCACCACAAAACACTCATATACAGCCATATAATTCTTGGTTTGCATAGGTCAAATAATCTAATAAAAATGTTGGCGTTTTACCTCATCTCCAAGTCTTCATTTTCTTGTGGTACAAATTTGTACAAGGCAACATAGGTGTTCATTTGTAACGTGTTTTTATAAAATGTTCCCTTTAAGAAAAAAGATAAAGAGAAAATGTAAATATCTGTCCTGAGCAGTGTTAGGAATGAGATGTAACATATGGTACCGTATCTGGAGCTTAGTGGAATGTGGGAAATCCAGGAATTTGGTTCATTTTGTTACAGGCATAGGGACCAGGGCCCGATCTTCCAAGAAACGAGTGAATCTCATTGCTTTCACACCTTGCAAGACTGCAGTCCAGATACACTATGAGTCACTAAGGTAGTAAATGTCTTCATTTAAAAGTATGATTCTCTGAACCTCAAGATCAAACTTCAGTCTTTCAAAGACATACAGAAATCTGCACAAGCTTGGCCTTTTTGGGCGAGATCTTAAAAACGAATCTGCCTTTTGCTCTCTGTTAATGTCTGGATGGGATGAGCCCTATAACATATTCCTGGCATTATATAATATGTCTATTACACAGTCATCATTATGGATGAGATATAGCTATACGGCTGTTTTTGTTCCAAAGAACAGAGAGGGAAAAATGCACTTTCTTAAACTCAAGGCTGTTTGCACTGTCCCTTCTACAGAGAGCCTGGTTACTCTCTCTCCACCCCTTCTCCCTAATAGTCACTCACACAGGGACCACTGGAAAACTGGAGCAGAAAAAGTATCTAAACCAAAACATAGATGATTTTTCAAATTATGTTGGATCTGTTATATTTCTGTTACTGCAGTTCTATTGTAAGGACATGGCTTCCCCGCTGGATCTTTTCAGTTTACAGTATCAGTTTGTAATAAACAGATGAAAGAAAATAAAAGTGATGATAATGGGTCTGGATCAACCAGAGAGCCATCGAATCCTGAATACTGTTTCCAACCACTGCCAGTGGCCCAGAAATTGTATAAGAACATGGTAGTCAGCTATTGATGCTTCCCTGGAAGAGTTTCCCAGGAATCCTACAACAATTTCACAGTTCAACGACCTTCGCTGTGTATAAAAACAAGCCTTTTATATGCCTCCCCATTCCCATTGCATTCTCACTAAGATTTTGCCCATACCGGGGAATGTATACTTTTTGGTTCTTCTCCAAAGTGTTCTGTGCCGTTTTCGGAGTATGTAAACACTGAAATAAAGCAGACACACAACATTTTAGGAGTAGTTTCACCTCAGCAGGATCATCTGCGTTTTGTTAATCTCTTCTTTTTCCCCCCTTACTTTCCATCCCTTGTTGTGCTCTCCTCTGAATCCTATTACACCCAAACAAAAGCAGATATCCCACTAAACTTGGCACATGGCACTAGACAATCCCTGTCCTGAAGAATAAAATACATCATTTTGATCAGATGAAAGTCCATAGGTGAACAGACCAAGGTTGCACAGCACTGGGAGTAGAACCCAGGTCCCCCAGTTGCATTGCTGTTGAAAGCCTAGCAGCCTTTCTTCATACTGCATGCCGTACTTTAATGGTTTAGGATCTGCAGGATTTCTGTTAAAGGCAACTGCAAAACTTGGTGAGCATGTATGAGCAGCACGCATGGAAGTATGTTCCCAAAACCTCTTCTTCCCCTGCCTTGACTCTCTTTCTCTAATTGTTTGATAGCCGCCTTTGCTCTCTCCAGTAACCCCTGCCTTGGATCATCCCAAACTTGCTCCAGCTACCTCACTGGATGCTCTACTGCTACTTCTGATTTTATAGGGGTTACCTGAAGTGTGGCTCACTGAGGACTTCTTTTCAACATGTAGTGCTTTTAAATGGGGATGGGTTATCTGAGATAGAGGCCTGTATGTGTGAAAACCTGGTACTAATTTACTAAATCAGAAGCTCCACTGACTACTAAGTGAATAAGACAACAGCCACAGTGGAGCAGGTTATCAGCATCTAACAGTATCTGCTACCTAACCAGTTACACTCTTGTAATCACTTCATGAGCTGGCTGATGCCTGTCTTCAGTTTCCTCCCAGAAACCCACAGTGGCTTTACTACATTGACTGAATTCCTCTTTCACTTTCTAAGAATTGCCTGGTGTTTCCTGCTTCTGGATAAAGTCTGAGTACAATTTTAATAGCTGGAGTGCTCGAGCAGCTAAAGCTCGATCAGTGTCTTCTCTTACCATTTACCTCTGCAGTTGTTTTGAACAGAAGCTGGATTTTATGGTCTCCAGTAACAATTTGGAAACCTCCAAAGCACTAATAAGAAGCAGATTGATTGTTTGAGTGTATTTTCCTCTTGTTTTTCTATGATATAGTCTCATATACTCAGGGGGAAAAAAAGGTCAGGGAACCACCAAACTACTGGATTTCCCTCCACCTCTGCTATTTCATTTTCACTTGCTCACCTGTCTTCCACGAACACATATTACTGTGGCTATTTTATATTGTAAACGACAGCCAGGCAAACAGTCTGTGAAGTTTTCCTAGTTAGATAGTAAGGCTCTTTGACAATAGAGAGAATGGTACTTAGACGTTGAAAAATGTGTTGCTCTTGCTGTAAAAGAGGAGAGATTTTGCCTTTTTAGGCAGCCAGAGCATGCACAGGGAAGAGAAAGGTACAGTACGAAGTAACACACATCCATCAGCACATACAAGCACATAGGCTCCGATACAAATGTAAGGGAATTTTGTAGTCATAAAGTTCAAAGACCTCTGAACACAAAGACATCATGTGATCTGATACCTGCAGAATTAAATCAGAAAATGCCCCAGGTTGTGTCTAGGTGATTTGCCTGTGGCTGACCTGGGGCCTCACTGTGTTCTTCACCAGGTCCCATTGTGGGGTGACTTTGGCCCTGCAAACAGCGGTGAGCACTGGAGGCGGAAATCTTAAGAAAAAAGCTGTTTCCAGGACAGGGGTGTATATGTGTCTAGCATCCATATAAAGCGAAGTAAAATGCTGCTGGCCCAATGTGGCAGTGCTCAAGTTTAGCTCAAAGCACCATGCACAGCTTCTTGGGCGTAGGAGAAAAGAAGATAGAGAGGCAAATCCAAAAAGTCCTGGTAAATGATTCGTTGGGTAACCAGGAGCATTTTGGACGCGCAGAAAGTCATTCACCATAAGCAAAAGCAAATGTTTCGCTAGAGCAGCACATTTGGGGTAATTTCTGCTTGGTGACAGAAATACAAACCTGTATGCGGAGAACTGCTCACTAAACTGGGCTTTGCCAGGAGGGTTTTTCACATTTGAGTCAGGGTGGCAAATGCTCAAATCCCTGCTGAAAACAGGCTCATGCATGTCATTTAGAGTACATTTTGGCCTGCAGGACTTCTGTTACTGATAGCAATTTGCAGCAGTGAAGAAGTATAACTGGCTTAGAGGAGGCTGAAGGGCTGGAAACTGGGCAAGCCATCTTAGAGTTGTAAACTAAGCAGCTTCGCTACAGTATGTGTGCCAGTGCCTGAATGAGAGCACTTTCCCTTGAGATTGCTGTTATGTATCTATAGGTGTGATTACACTACCACACATGTGCTGAGTCCTTCCACCCTTCTGTATGCCGTATCTTTTTTGCCGTTTCCCTTTAAACAAAGAGATTCAAGTGTGCATATTCCTAAAATCTTATTTGAAGGAGTCAGTTTTATTATGGAAAAGAAAAAGAACTAGAATGGACCTGATTCATCAAGGTATTAGTGATGGCACTGCCTACCAAAACAGCAGTGGAAAACTGAAGAAAAAGGAGTGATGTATCACCCTGTAACAACATTTTGAGTTTGTTAAATTTTTAATCTCTGTTTAGCTCGTGGTCTCTGGATATTATTAGGAGATGCACGAATCTGAAGACCATAGAACTATGTAGTTCATGTCTCCACACAACAGAAAACCAACTATTTTCAAATTTGTTTGCCCTAGCAGCAGCAGAAAAAAAAAAAAAGTCGAAATTCTGACAGCCTGAAAGGGGTTTTACCATTTCCATGGCTTGTGCAAATAGTGCGGGCAGTTTATTAAAAATCTACCAAGGGGAAATTTTTGGAGCGACTGATGCATAATTTATACCCTGAGCCTCTGAAGGATGGATTGTAAAAAAGCCAGTGCTGATCAAAGGAATTGTTAATGTGCCGCAGAAGTTATTTGGAGATTTGACACATGCTGAGTTTTTAAACTAATCTCTTTGAGTAAGTTCCTTGAATGCCTTTCAGGGCATTCAGTGAATGCAGATCTCATAGAAAAAAAGTTTCTTTGGGGTTCAGAAATGAAATTACTGAACGACAATGAGAAAAAGTTATCTGAAAACTCAGACACGGCCAAATTAATCTCAGGTGGGCAGGATTATACAATGTGAAGCAGACTGAAGTCTATGCCTTTTAACCAGGTCAGGTCAACTCACACTTTCAAAAAGGAAAAGCTAAATACATCATCAGGAGAAGGCAGATAACACAGATGAGATGTTCACAAGATGAAAAGGAGAAAATGACTGAATGCAGTGAGAAGAAGTGATAGGGCCAGGTGAAAAGGGAGGCTATAAGAAGGAGGTGGCATAAAAGGGGAATAGACAACTGCAGTGCACATCCCTCTGAGATCTAGCAAATCAGCTTCCACGTGCTGTTGGAGAAGGCACTGAGATGGTTTGAGCCTGAAGCTCTGCTGAGTGCTCCAGACCTCTTTTGTGCTTATTGCTTCCCTCACCATGACTGAATTTGAGACCAGGGTCATCAGTACCATCCCTCAGTGGTTAAGATTTCATCACTTAGCTCTGGTCTTGAAAGCCCATCAGAACAATGCCATAAAAACATTACTGCAAAGCAGAAAAAGGAATTGGGCTATTAATATTCCTGTGGCACATACTATAGCTGTACTGAGAGGCTGCAATTATGACCAAGATTCATTGTGCTAGATATTTTACAGCCAAATGGTTGTTATATGAATCAGTCCCTGTCCCAAAGGAATTATCGCATATAGAGACGAGCAGACAAGTCAGACATATGGCAAGAGAAAGGAAGTATTATTTTTGTTCCACTTCACCAATATGGAACTGAAGCATGTTAAGTGTTTAGTCTGAAGTCATGCTTGTGAAGCAGAAGAGCTAGAGAGCAGAGCTGAACCCTTGTCCAGTGACAGGCCCGGACACTACAAATTAAGAAAACCAGTGGCTTGGATCTCATCTGAATGGCAAAGTGCATTCCCCAGATCCTTACACCAACTGCTTGCCCCAAACCTCCCTGCCGTCCAAAATAAAAACACTGCTAAAACATGATCATGCCATTAAAAAGTCTAAAAAGATTGTACTCATGCCTAGCATGCAGCCAATACATCTGACTATGCTAGCCTGGCCTGGAGGTGCTCACCACTGTTGCTCCGTTTCCTGCTTATGTCAAGGGTGCCTCCAGAGCTATCAGCTTCTTCAGGAACTTCTGCCAGGTCGGAAGTCTGTAGGGGAAGAAAGCAAAAATAACATGGGATAAGACAGAAAGTGATGAGATGAAATAAAACTACATAAGAACCTTTAGGAGAGTGCAGCAGCTGGGTGCTTTCAGAGCAGAGCAGCGAGCAGTGAAAACCCAGAAATACCTCCAGACCAAGTTCCCAGTCTGGAGTGCAAAAGATTTCAGCAGAGTTAAGCAAAAGTTAAGGAAAAAAGGATTACACTAAGCAACGTGGTCATCTGTACAAAATAGAAGGGGGTTGGGGGAATTTATAGGTGCTGCAGGTGTACTAAATAGCCCTCTAATGAGTTCACTGACCATTAGTTGAAACCATTGACTATTAATTTATTAACCCTGACTAAATTATTCAGTAAAATAACTCTAATATAAGTGTGATTTTAATTCCTTTAACGTGCTGTGAAAAAAGGAGCTAGAGCGTGAAGGAGCTGGTGACTGGGTCTTCAATTTCTTTTTGAATAGTCATCTGTCTGGTATAGTTAAGACAAATGAAACTCAAATAATTCTGTTATGATTACTATTATTTCTTATTTGTATCATATTAATGCCAATCACTACTAGGGACCATTATTCTAGGATTCCTCTGTTGGGTAGTCGGCTTCTCCATGTATAGCCCAACGGGAACCAGGAGCTACTCCAAACAAGTTTGTTTGAATCTGACCTTAATGAGCTTCAGGTTCTGAACTCTTCACCCGTTAATTTTTTTGGTGAAATATCTTTTAGAACCATAAAAAAACTTTTTAAACTTAAGAGCCAGATGATCTTCACAGTCTGAAAAACTGTAAGTCCTTGTGTGCGTCTAAGCTTTATTTATTTCTTGTTAACAAGATTTTAAGACACACTAAAATAACTAAAATAGTTATTCTGTGATGCGCTAGAATTATATTGTACACACAGCTCTACCGATTGCTTTGCAGCTCTTTGCCTGCATTATGGGAAGAAAAGCCAAATCAGGAACATTCACCATCTTTGTTCAGGGAGCACAAAATCTGGATTGCTTCACAATTTGCTATACATTTTTTTCCTTTTAAAAACATTGATTTTTTTTTTTTAGAAAGCACTTTGAAAATTACATGTCTTTTCTGACAAACTTAGTTCCCCCATCTAGTACTTTTCTACAATACTGGTGGACTATGACATTGGCAATAGATTTATGTCACAGAAATCTTGTGATTATTGTTTCCCTTGCTATTACCAGAGCCTTCTACTTTACTGCTCTGCTATACCTTGTTTTTAGATTAAGGTCACATATTTAAGTGTGACCTTTGGACCAGGTCACAATTCTCTTGCATCTTGCATAGATGGGTCATGCCTGTATAAGGTGGCACTGGAACAGAAATGCTAACAAAGAGGCAGGGTATAGCAGACCTTGGGACTCCTAGCTGGCGGGTGGTGGAAAAAGAAAAGACTAGCTTTGCTGAAATAGTAGGCTACAGCTATTTTTCAGCTATTTGCTGTGGCATTATCCTCAGTCTCCATAAACTAGCTTCATAATTGCTGATTAGCCTTGTACTTTGTTGTGTATTATTGCATATGGAAGTGCAGTGACCATCTCTTCAGCACATGCATGATCCAAAATCACCTGAAGTAACCTCAGTTACCTTTAAGAACTTTTCTATCAGGAGCTATATGACAAATAGTCTAACAGAAATGACAGACTTACAAAACTATCCATTAAACACTAACAAGAACTGGTATCCCATTTACCTCACCTCAAGTGACTTTCTGTATAAATGTGTGCTGCAGAAGCACATTTCAAGGGAAGCGGTAGGTAGTAAATCTGGAGCATATGGCCACATACTTGTATAGCAGATACAGCATCCAGGCTGAAAATCACAACGGGTGCATCCACATTGCTCAGTCATGTTAAAAATACCTTGCCTGGTTCAGAGCAAGGTGGTATCTCCACACAGTGCACAGACATGAGCTGCAATCCTGTAAGCTGCATGGCTGTAGGCGCAGAGCATGGCTCCTGGGCGATTTGCCTTTGCTTTTAACTAGCCTGGCACCACATGCAGCTACACTGCTCCCACCCAGAGCTAGTTCTTTGATAGCTCATGCACCGCCTGAGAGACGTGGTGGGATCCTAGACGTCACCATGTCACAGGTGTCCTTGGTTCAGTCCCAGAAGCACTCTCTAGCTCCCCGGGCTGGGACACCAGCCAAAGAGATGTGGTGCCGCTCTGTGTCAGGTCCCTGCTCCAGCCACAAGTCAATGCCTGCTCCTGTGTCCCACATCATGGTTGTGAAGCTCCATGACCTCATCATTTGGATCAGGGCTGTAACTTCCCTTGGTTTTAAATCCTTGTCGCAGCGTACAGGCTTGCACTGGCAGAAGTTATAGTTTCATATAACTGTTTATTCAGTCCTCTAATGTTTTCTATTTTCTACACACTGACAAGTGTTACACTCTCCCTCAGATTGAGTACCCTGGAGAAATTCCCATAATGAAACGGCATTTATGATCAGCTCTCTAGGGCAAGCTGACACAGCATTCGTAATTTCTATGCCTAAGTTATCATTCATAATTCAACATAATGCTTTATTGATTTAGAAAGCAATAATTACATTTGTAGAACTTCTGTTTCAAAGTAAATTAAATAATTGAAAGAACGAATTGTAGTCACTGTGTGACAGGTGCAAGAGTCACTTAGCATTTTAAAAAAAGAATGAAAATTACCAAGTTCCTTTTAAAGCAAAAAATAAGGTTGGATGAAGGACATGCCCTGTAATAACTCCCTGGCAGATTTCACTTGGTCCTTGTTTGAATTTGTGTCTTCTTTTCCATCTGAGACAAATTAACATCTGTTTAGAGACCACCTGTACCATCTGAGGCTGTAGTTCAGTGACGGGAGAGAACACAGGTGCCAGTGAAACATTGTAGTGAACATAAATAGATTTTAGCCCCAGTTTAAATTAAACATATACGTATTGGCTCCTGGACACGAAGCCTCACAGCATCTCTGTGCCTGGGGTGAATTTCGTTCTGAGATGAGTAGTGGAGCAGGAACTGCCACTGAAAGAGACTGTGAGATAACACGGGTCTGATTTTCAGAAGTGAGAACCAGCCTTAATCTCCAGTGGATTCACTTGTGATTTTATTTGTCTGAAGGTTCTCTTGGAAAAACAAAGAGCCTCAAGCATAGGCTTAGGTGCCTGTTTATGAGAGTGAGAGGGTATGAGATGTTCTTTCAGTCCTGTGAACGAGCTGTTGACAGCATGGCTCCCAATAGGATTGTAATACTGGTTTCCTTCTTACACAAATGGTTAAGCAGCATTGTTGAACTAGGTATGGATTTAGCACAGGCAGGTATAAAGGACACTATCTCTTCCTTTATGCTCCTCCTTCATCTCCTGCCATGGTCCTGAAGAGAGTGACTTTCATGACACGAGACAGTGAATGACAGGGACGGATGAGAAGGTGAGGATGCATCAAGCTGAGCACACAGACCCCCGTGGTGGGGGGTTTCAGATGAGCAGCCCAAATCTACAGTGGGTCCCTCATGAGCCTACGCTGGGCAGGGATGGAGGAACTAGTCCATTGCCCTATTGTGGCAGCAACAGCTTCGTCTTGGCTGGGCGTGTATTGTGGAGCTTGTACTTGTAGATCTAGGCTCTGAGGACTCTAAACCATCCTTAATGCTAGTGTGTAGGGTAAAATGCCCACTGTTAACAGCAGGACGTGTCCATTCCAGCTACACGGCTTTTTATTCAGAATAAAAGGTATAAATGTTGCTTTAGAATTAGATGCTTTACAGCTAAGTATCTGTGTTCCACTTTTGCACAGACACTTAATATCAAGAATATCATTTAATTGTAAAATCCAATAAAAGAAGATTATTCAACTACTTACTGTGAATTTTTCTCTTTTTCTCGACAGATACTTAAAACGTGAGCTTGCAAAAATAAAGTGTTTGCTGGTCCCATTTTGGGAGCTAGGAATGAGGGTTTTTTTTGGTTTAATAGCTTGAAATATAAATTTTGTGAACTTTGATATGAACTCTGGTACATGGAGATGTGTTGCTCCTCCACAGAAAAAAAGGAAGGAAGATATGGCATACTTACAGAGTTTCTGTTGGGAGAATCAGACCCACTTCCAGAGCTGCCCTTCTTGGTTTTCTGAGCTAAGGAAGTCCCAAAGCGGAGAGTTTCATAGACAGGGTCAACCTTATTTCCACAGGCTGCAACAAAAGGAGCAGAACATACATCAATACATCAAAAACGTTCCCTACGCTCCCGTTCCACTTGGAGGAACATGCTTTTAACAACACGTTCGGATGTATGTTGAGAAATATAAGTTGAGAGGTTATCCTGAGAAAAAGTGCTTGATCAACTTAGAGGACATGGCTTTTGCTACTGACTTTTTGCTGCCTCTCTGCTCCCATAAAAGTCATCCTTCCTTCATACCAGCTCTTCAGGTCTCTGCCTTCACCTCATCTCTCCTTACTTGCAATCCTCCTTCTTTAAGTGCTGCTGATGCTGCCTACACTGACTTTAATTCGTATTTACTGCCTGTTCCTGCCACTTATCTCTTGGTTCACTCTCAACACTGGATGCTTGGAGGGAAAAGCCTGCATCGTGCCTGGGCTTTGCTGCAGTGTGGGTGGGCCATCACCTTTATGCCATGTACCCTCTCAGTGCTGTTACGTGGCTAATGCTAGGTAAATGGGATGGCCTGGATCTTCTGAGAAAGGCATCAACATCACTGCTGTTGGGCTATGTGGGATCTGGAGGCAGGTGTGAGAAGATATGTGGGAATGAGCTTCAGATAGCTCAATTGAACCTAAGTTTAGCCAGAATGGCCTCTACCCCCACTGACGTATGACCCTTCATTTCTCCCTCCCAGTCTCCTTCTTAGCTGGCCCTAAAGTCATCTCTCATTGCAGCTAAATGGGCATCTTCGATTGGCATGAGTGGATCTGGTTCAAACCCTCTTATACCTACTGCATTATTAGACCTCAGCTTCCTCTGGGGTACAAGTTAGCAGCCACTTAGAACACAGTAGGTTTGTAGTGTTGTACAAAAAGAGAGAAGTTTTGGCCAAAGTACTGAGGAAATACATTCTGAATCTTGAGCAGAGCAAAACACACTTCATTTTCAGCCAGAGTCTGCTCAAAACATTTTGATTTCTTATGATGAAAAGGACAGATGTTTTTCAGACATAGAATCTTAGATGAATCCCATATAATTGACTTTTTTTTTTCCAATTTAAGAAAATAACTGAGTAAATGATCTCAGACATGTCATTTTAAACTGATTGTTCAGTTTTGGCTTTCATTTTTTGCACTGCCAGGCATGCCGGGTCAGATTGCTCACAGGGAAGGATATTTTCCAAAAGCAACTCAACTTTTCTGTTTCAAAATTTTTCTTTTCAGGGATTTGGTAATCAGTGAGCAAAATCTGGTCTTTTAAATACTTGAACAATGTATAGAAATGCTCAATAAGCAAATAAAAAATGAAATTGAGATGTTTGGGTGGAAAAGTATAGGAAGTCCCTCAAGTGGTCTGGGTAGTCTCCTACTGTTTTAGTATCCCTTTCTCTCATCTGGTTCTTCCAGCTCAGACCTTTACCTCCATATGTCACTGTTTACTCCATTTTTAACTCCTACCTTGAGCTCAGGTCGTTATTATTATAAGCACGGGGATTGCTAACAGGTTATTTGCACGGCACTTTGAATGAGACGCACGATAAACACACCGTCTCCTCTTCCAGCTTTGTATCTTTGAAGTGGTCCTTTTCTGGGCTGGCAGAAGGACATCCAGTCACTGAAAGGAGCTGGAAGGCTGCTGCGGGCAAATGCCACGGCGGGGAGTCTGCCGCTGCTGTAGCATAGCACTGCCAAAGGGAGACTGAACGGAAAAGCAACCAAAACCTACCAATAGGCATCACTTCTTTGATGCAGCCAAACTGTTCATGAATGAGTAGTGGCGAGCTGTAGTACCGTCGAAATCCCTTTGGCTGGAGGGAAAGAAAGCGGAAACATGTGAAGCGCGGTGCTGCCATCACTGAGCCACACAAATAGCCTCAGCTCTTCAGCTCGTGGCAGAAGAGAAGCTATTTCTCACGGTAAGGTGTGGTGAGGCTGGTAATTTATCTCCTGTTGTTGAATCACTGCGGGGTGTGGAGACAGGGATTTACCTGATTTTTCTGCTAGAAGAAAATTTCCTATACTTATCTGGAAGGAGGAGGGGGTGGTTTTCAGGCCCTCTGCTACTTTTGCCTGGCACAAGGGCAGTGAGAAGTGCTGAGTCACTAGAGTTTCTAGAAAGCTCCACGTAATGTAAGAATTCTGTATTATTCTAATGTAAGGATATCTGAAGAGTGAAGGTGCTCTGGCCTGTATTCGTGGAGCACACACCTATCATTTCCTCGCCCTAACTGCAAATCCCCTTGTTCTCACAGGTGCGTTTGTGAAACCCAAGAAATGAAGAATCTTTCCACAGATTTTTCTAAAGTTTGCTGCCTACCCACTGCAGCTTCCGCTGCTTTTTGGTCTTGCAAGGTCAAAAGACTCCCTAGATCATCATCAGATGTACCTTAAATGGCCATTTACAGAGAAATGCGGTGGAACAGCTTAAGCTGCACCGTTAAAGAATAACACAATGTGGCTAATCGAGATGCCTTACACCACTCTAAAAACTGTTCTTAAAGGTTAACTATTTTCTGTAACCTCTTGATTTATTACCTCAGCTAGCAAATGCCTCAGTCAAAGGCTGAGCACCCAAAATGATGATCCTAACACGTAAATCTTCAGAAAGGCCCTTTAAGCTATTAGAGATTCACGAATGGCCCGTCCAATTGCTAATAGTCACCTGCTGCACAGGCTTTGAGAACCACTAGCCACTGGAAAAGCCTCACGAGGATGCGCTTATTTGCAATATGCTACATCCAGTATACATTATAAAATTATATGGAACTAGTTCTATTGCGAGTGATCAGCAGTACGGATTGAGAAGGAATGAGAGGTCTGATAAATTTGATTTTTGGAGGAATAAATCCTAGATTCCCCAGTAACAGCTGATCCCAAAACAAACTGAATTCAGACACAACACGAGCCCATAAAATTCCCCTGACATCGCTTGATCTCTTCCTGCTGTAAATTTAGCCTTTTCTGCTTTTGTAAATTAGTGATCACAGGAGCTGAGGCTAGAATTAAGCAATGTGTGAAACAATTCATGTGTTTTAGTATTTGGCTTGTCCCAGACCTGCAGTGAGGTCATTCAGCTCTTTATAGACCACTTTCCCGTATCAGAATGCCTCACACTAGGACTATGATGAAGGTTTAAATGCATAAAATTTTGCCTCAGGTGTATAACCAACAGTAGCAGTTACTGAATACACTTGGAGAAAAAAGATCTTTCCGGAGGACAGATGGGTTGTCTAGCCCTTTTGAAGTGAATGTCTACTTTTTTCATCATTGAACACAATATGACTATTTCTTTTTAGCTCAGATTTGTCTTCAGTGCCTTTAGTTGGCATGTGCTTGTAACAAAACTGAGAACATCTGAAAAATGAATATATGCATCCAGTTTTCATGTTCCATATGGTCATTTTCCCAAATTTTTCTCCAGAAGGAAACAAAAGAACCATATTTCTATAAAAACAGTCACCAAATTGAGTTAGACCAGTCTCAGATGTAGTGTTCTGCCTTTGCCAACGCGACAATTTGATGCTCAGAAGGCGACACAGGCGCTAAGGACTCTGTGAAATATGCTTTGTTTTCTCTTTAAGCTGAATTATTTAATTCCACTTTAACAGTAGAATAAACACTAAAACATAATTTGAAGGCTTTTTCATTTGTTAAACTCCACTGAAATACGTTGACTAATTTATAGCATTCTCTGTAGGCATTTGCACTACAGAGACTACAACAAGCACAGTTTAAATCACAGGAATTAATTCTGATATTTAGCTAAATTTAGATTATGCAACCATATATTCACATCCATAAAGCAGAACAGATTTACGTTATAGCATGGTGCTCAGGTTCCTAAGTTGTAGCAATCGCCCAAATTTATAATAAGCCACTACCTGGCATTGTTTTTCCAATGCAAGTGACATGACCTGGGTTCATTTTTGTTAATGCACTAGCTAAATATGGGCCAGAAGGTCATGCATAGGAAGCGAGTGGCTCTGGTGCAGGCTAATGCCCCCAGCCACGCTGGCTGCCCTGAGCTGCTCACTTACCAGCTTGCCCATGCAGCGCTGCTGCCCAATACTGTCGGCGCACTTGTGGTGGATGCTCATCTTGCAAGCCTTGCAGCGCAGCCCATGCTTTGCGTTTGTCCCTGCGAAATGCACAGAGATCATTTAATTAGGCAAAATCAATAGTTTCCATGCATTTAACGAATGACCCGAAAGAACCAATTGGGAGGTCAGTTGCAGCAGTGTGAATATTGACAATAGCTTTTATCTTGCCTACTGTTTTTAAATACATGTACATACATGCATACATTTTCTTTTCAGCCTTTCTATTTCAGGCATTTTTTCCCTGGGGCTCTTTCCCAGCCTAATGCCACCTTTGGATTTATGTTGGATTATTCCCTGTTGGGTCACACTCCCACCAGTCATGCCTCTGCCTTTTGAGCATCAGTTCACTGGGCCAAAGCCAGCTACCCATTTCAAGGGGGTTTGAGCTGACCGTGGCACAGGGCCCGCAGGAGGAGCCCCCAGCAATGCAGCTGCTCTGGGCAGGTGGCCCATCCGTGCACCACCAGTTTTGGTGGCGCCAGTGGTGCGTGAGCAAGCTGGCTGGTGGGGCCTGGCTCAGCTCAGATGCTCCCTCGCTTTCTGATGGTGGGGTCCCCCACGGCACGGGGGCAGCAGGAAGGACTGCGTGCCTGGTGAGCACGCAGCATCTCCCGGAGCAGGGCAGCAAGGATGTCCTTGGTTGGCCTAGAGCAAACCTCTCCCACTCAGACAGCAGTAGCTCTGCCGTTACCTTCAGCATAGACCTCCTCTTAAATGACTGAGCGAGCCTCTCCTCCCAGGCAGGAACAGTCACTCCTATTCATACAGCATGTAAGACTTCCTAAACTACGCAGCAGCATTTGGGCTGCAGTAACTTTTTTTCTCCCCCCACAGTACTGTAAAAGTGGCATGAGTAAACAACACGCCAGTTCATTATCATCTACTGTGAGAATGAGTAAGGAACAAGGTAGGGGAAAAAAAATCTCTTGACATTTTAAACCGGCCCTCATTAGTCAGACATGATAGGAATATTAGTCAGAAGAATCCCGCATCTGAAAATGTTCATGTAGCTGTTGGTTATTTGAGTAGTCAACGCCATGTACACACTGCTGATTTAATTCAATGAACTGCTACTTTTGAAAGAAGCACTTCAGGGAAGGGGGCATCAAGTTGCTGACAAAATATGAGCATTGACAGTGCTGCTTTCGGGGGAAGAGGACCCTGAAGCGGCAACTTCCATGGCGGGCAGAGGCAGGCTGGAGGATCCTGAGGTGGGCCCCATGAGCTGGGGGACAGACGTTTCACTTCTGCACCCCTTGTAAGGTGAGAAATCAGTTTCTTCCACTGCAGCTGATGGGGAGTAAAGGGGCTGGACCAGACGTAAGCCAAGGGAAAGTTCCATTCAACACAAGCAGTCAGTGCCTGGCAAAGAGGCCACGCTCTGCTATTTGATGACTGACTGGAGAAGCTGAAGAGGCAGCTAATCCAGACACATTATGTCTCCTGTGCTGAAGAGCCTCTGTCTTTCAAAGCGCTCCTTTCCCATCTCCCCGCTCTGCGGGATGCTGGACCTCGTTGTGCGCCTTGCTCTTGCAGCTGGTGGTTTGCTCACAAAGCGAGGCCCAGGGCTGCGAGGGCGCCTTGACCAACGCTGCACCCCGCTGCCTTGTCATGGGACCCCCCCACGTCGTGGGGAGCATCCCGGGGACACCCCTGTGGTGGGTCACCTGCCTGCCCCAACCACTGCCTGCGCAGCCTTTGGTGGCTGAGCTGGCGCCCCAAGGCTCGCACATCACCACTCAGGTGCTCACAGGCATCCAGCCCCATACCGGGCATCATTCCGCCTAGTAAACAGGGGATTTACTAGAAAAATATATCCCTGTTTTATTCAGTTGCACGTGGCTTAGTGTGCTGTGAGTGTGAGGATTTTTTTTGGTCCTTTCATTTTTATTGGTCCTTTCTAATAACACATGCTCAAACCAATATTGACTTCTATGGCTTGTGCTTATCTTTCTGAGGATGAAACGCTGAATTAGCCTTTGTGGTGGTCAGTGACCAATACTGAAAGCAATGAGAAAACAGGACGTCGTCCACATTATTTTATTATAGTGTAGTGCGGAATGGGAAAGGAAAACGACGTCATTTTGTGCCTATACAACACATATTTTATAGCACTGTTTGTACTAGGTCTGATCCTCCTCTCAATCCCACTAGTCTGTACTGGCAGAAATCTTATTTGCTCTATCAAGTTATTCCTGAGATTCAGCTGGACTGAAGGGCAGTCAGTCCCACAGCTTCCTTTTTGCTGGCAATTCCAGCCATTTTAATGTTGACATTACAAGCTGGATATTGGTCTTTACATGTTATGAGCACATGATCACAGAAGATATGCACTGGCTGATGTAATCGCACATCCAAATGAGGTGCAAAAATGAATGCAAAGTACCTATGCTACTTTCAAAAATCCAAAAACGACTCTTTCAGAATAGATGTCTGTGATCATGTAAAAATGAGCTACAATCAACTCAAGAGAATAATTTATAGAAGAGCAACATTTTGTATTTCTACTGCTGAATACCATTAGTTACCTATGGGTAGATAAGTAGTAGCTTCAAAGAGAGGAAAGGTATTATTTCAGTCATGCACATGAGTTTACAAGAAGTTTTGTAAATCAAAACAAAATTGCCTTTAACTACCAAAAGCTTCAATCTCTAATTTGTTGCCAGTTCTCACTAGTTGGTTTACTGTGTGACTAGGTAGCCTGGATATAATTTGCACGGATGCCCCTGCCTCCCTTTGTGTAATATCCAAAAGGCTTAAAGGAGGAGAGTTTATTCTGTATTTACACTTAATTACCATACCTTAAGCTCTGAAAACTGGCATTTCTGCAGAACACATTTTCTTTTTCTCCCAGGATAAGTCTTTCTTCTCCAGTTTCTGACCTCCATCACATTAAATCAAACCTGTTCAGGGAATCATGGCTAAGCATCTCAAAACTCTATGGCAGAGGGTAGACAAGTACGCATTGGTAGCATGTCTGCCCAAAATGTTCTTCAAATTCAAAGCTGAGGTACAACCACAGCTCACATTATGAAAAGAACAAGTCCACATTTGTAACAGGCAAAAATAGACCAGGGTTTGATCTATCACACTGGTTTTTGGCCTTACATGTATATAGGCTTGTTGGGTTTGCGGTTGCCTGAATGGGGTTGATTTTTGAAGGCTTCTCTGTAGCATGAAATGGAGAAAAAAAAAACAGAACATGGATTTCATGTTCAGGTTTTGTAAACCGGGAGTAGCTTCATGGCTACATGGGGTTCACATAGCCGTGCTAGTATGACGGAGATATTTCATTACGTCTAAAGAAATTGTACGAAACATAGGAATGTGTTTAAACATTATTGCAAACAAATTCTCCTAGAGAGCATGAGAAAGCTAGGAATATACATTAAATAACAGTAAATAAATGTTATTAATAACTAAAAGTAAAAATGCTAATAATAATGCTGATGCTAATAACAACAACGATAATAATAATGACACACTGGGGCAGACTAGTTGAGGGGAATTTGGATAGTTCCACTTATCTCATTTAGAGGGCCAGGGCTTGTTTGAAATTGAAAGCCTCTCTGCTGCGCGCTTATTCCCTCTGGGTTAATCTTGCTGCAGAGCAAAGGATGGGGAAAGGGGAAAAGCAGGGCGAGACCGGAGACGCCTGCTGCACTATCCGGAGGAGGCAGTGCTCCTGCAGGTCCGGGGAAGTCTGGAACGATAAAACGCTCCCTGCGAGGACTCCTGGTGAACACGCTCCTCTGATTGCCTGCAGGTCTGGGCATCGCTCTGTTTGCTTCCTGCCTCCTAAATAGCTGGCAGTTTGATTGCAGGCTACCATGTATTCCCTTTAACAAATATTCCTCTAAGCCAACCTTAAAGCACAGCTGGAAGCAACGAGTATAAAGTACTCACTAAAATGTCTGTAGCTACCAGAAACGTGCCAGTCATTTCAATTTCTGGTGCATCAGAAACAGAGGAAGAAAAGGTTTAGCAATGCAGCGAAACTTTGAGCACCCTAACTACTTTTTGCTCTAGTTTTCTTTCGAAGGAGGAGGAGACTAACAGCTTTGGTGGCATCTTTATTATTACCTTAAAAGAGTAAACATTTCCTCCCCTCCTCCCTTTTCTCGAAAGACCCTTGTGAAGGTTACTGAATCAAATTGTTAAATGTTGAGCATGCCAGAATGAAGGTTCTGCTCAGTTCCTTTTTGATTGCAATCGAATGATGTGACTGCTGCTATTTTTATTCTAGGCACTCTACTTCATTCAGCAAACAGGGTGGACAGTGTTCAATGAATGGGCAGCTCTATTCAGTGCTTCTTTTTTAGCTTCATTCAGTGCACGTCCTCATGCATCACCTCCTGAGTATCTTATTAGTCCCATTCCTAATACAAAATGACTAATAGCCTCATGGGCTTTCCTATGGGCCCGTTGTCATGGTCTCTTTATGCCTCGCAACATGAGCACATTTGACAGAACTTGGATGGCATGGCTTCCAGGTGAATGGATAAAACTGTCACACATGTCACTATTAGTGACAATTTGGCCCCAAAGCTGGTGTCTAAACTGTAAAAATTGCAAGCTGCCAAAATTGGGATTTTAGAACGGAAAGTACTAGACACATTTAGCTGACTTGTAATGCCCATTAACATACCCGTCAGTTTAGTCATGAAATTCATGTACGTATAAAACGTACACATGGGCACATATATGCTCTGCATCATATCTGTTAATGTACCTACTGATTATCTCACAACGGGCAAAGTCTGCTATCCTTTTGCAAATGAAAAAGCCAAAACTGCAAAAGAAACAGTCCTATTTCCCGTGAGTGTTTCTCTGTCAACAAATGAGGAAATTTCACATCAGGATACCTGAGCAGCTCTTAAATAAACTTGCAAATGAGATTCTGTCGTAGTCATTTTCTTCAGTTACCAACTAACGCGTTCAGACATCTGGCACTGGAAGGTCACAATGTTTTGAGAAGCAGGTCATGTTTAATAATACCTTGCTAGAAATACTCTATGACTGGGTCAGCTTCCATTTG